CTCCCAAAGTTATATTTTCGTGTGTTCTGCTTCAGTGCAATTCCAGGTGTGAGGGAATCTGTTTTTTGAATTGTCTTCTTGTCCCATGTGGAGCATCTTGTGTCACAGGATGTGTGCTGTGAACAGGGGCAGCAGAAACTTGTCCTTTCACTTCTACTTGAAAGAAACAGTAGTGAAATGAGATTAACAGGGATCTTCCCTTCATGTCGGGTCAAATCAGAAATCCTGTGGAGTTTCAAGCAACTCATTGACATCTCTCCTGATATGGCTGGTTCCCAGAGGAAGCCTGCTTGTCTCGTTTGCCCTTCTGCTTGGGGCATAAATCCACCCTTGATGGGGTTATACAGACAGGACAAATAACCTCTCTTCGGGGGATTCTCCCCGCCTCCATCATTTTTGGACCTACAGCTTCCTGTCTCTCCCTTTTGGGCATGCCTGGGATGCAGCAGAGCCATGCAAGGAAGGGTGTTGACTGGAAGGAAGATGGGTTGCAGACAGGGCTGGCTCTGGAGAGCAGAAGGACTGATTTACATGAGATTCCCACCTTTTGGTTATCCCTCTGGCTTGGCTTGTGCCTTGGCCTGGTGCCATCTGACACAGTTTGCAGCGCTGGGATGTTGAGGGCTGGCTGAATTGGCTGCCTGGGCTCAGAGCCAGTTTGTATGGCTTGTTTGGCTTTGCACTGTGTTTCTAGTGGGGTGAGCTGTAATATGTGTCTCTTGTCATGAATCAGACCATAGGTATGGATAATTCTCAAACCAGGCAGTCGCATGAGTTAATTCCATGCTGTTCATGTTTAAAGTTGTTTTATTAAGGAATTATTCAGCTTATTGCTCAGCAAATATCCAGCATCATTAGTAGGTTTAGAATGAGGGTTGTGTCTCAGTATGACCAAACAGTGTCTTAAAGCTTTAATTGCCAAATAAAAACTCTTTCCGCCTCTCTTTTCTAAAATATACGACATTACTAAACCTCCACTTTGGTAAAATATTGTAGCACATATATTTAAGTGTGTTTTTAAGTTCTTTTGAAGTCAATGTTTAAGTGCTTTGCTGAAGCAGGGCCTAAAATAACAAGAGCCACAAAGTTAAGCCACTTTATTTTTGAATGAGTGTTTGCACAGCAACTGAGTGCTTGTCAGCTTCTTGTCATGACCCTCAGGTGCAGATCTCCCCTTAGTTTCAGTGAATTAGAAACTTTTTCAAATTGCTGTTTTGCACACAGTTGGAGTGTCAGAGTCAGACCCAAGTATGGTGGGCTTTCTTTTGCAGAATGAGATCAAACTGAAATGGGATATAGGGCCATAAAGAGATTGGCATCATCTCAAAGAGAGCACAGCTATGATTAGTCATTTCCTATATACATACTATATAAATACTGGGGATATTCACACACACAATTTTTTTTTCTTTTCTGGGTTAGTGAAACCAGTACTGCGCTGCAAACCTGATCCTTGCTAGATCATTGAGGAGGCCATGGAAAATTAATTCTCCTGTCAGAAGAGAGTTGTGCATGTACTATAAGTAATGGATCTGAAATGGGGGAAGACAACAAGTTTGTAGCTGACTGATTTTAGTCTTTCACTTCTGCAACCCCCTTGCAACTGGGGAGCTCCTGTGTTGAATCAACTCTTTGCTATTGTTTGCAGGGCTGCAATCTACTTTTGTGCTACTTACTTGGATACCACAATCTTAGCAAAACATGCAGTGGGGCAAGATTGAAGTTAACATGCCACTGAAGGCAGTGGAAGGTTTAATCTCTTTGGTAGAATGATATCTTTGGGGTCAGAGGTGTTATCTTGTGCCACTTGTGTTGTTGTTGTTTCATGTTCTTACACCACCATGTTGGAGTATTGCCAATAAGGGCCAGTGCTGTGCACTGTTAATTTAAAGAACTCAGTGGTGCTATGGGACTGCTTCAGAGTGTGTGGTGGCTGCTGCCCTGCCTGTCATCACTTTGCCCCACCTGCTAGTCCAGAGAATTCCCTACGCAAAAGTATTGAGTGCTGAGTCTCTATAAAAAGAGCAAAGAACACAGTTTTTGTAGTGCATGTGTGCTTTACATTAAGAGCTGGCTTGGGCTTTTCCCCTTATTTCCATACCTCTGCAAGTCACTGCCTGGTGATGAGGAAGTGCTGCTCCCAAGCTCCCTGCCTCTCCCAGTGAGGTCAGCAGGAGCTGCAGGCACTTCTAGCAGTATTGGGTTAAAAACATAGTGGGACAGACTAATTAGGTTTCACTTTTGCTGTTGAGTCTCAAATACATATTTATTGAGATCATTGGAAAGATGGTCAGTAAATGTGTGGGGATGACACAAGGAAGACCAATATGGTGGCCATCTTCAATGGGAAAGGGGCAAAAGCCCTTGTGAAGGGCATAAAGTTATTTGAGGAGTAGAAAAATTTAAGTAACTTAGCAGGAGAGTTTTTATCTAAAAATGCAAAATGTTACTGAAATTGAAGCAGTGATTAATTTGAATTTATACCTACCAGAGATTTGTGCTGCTGTTGTGGCTGGCTTAATCTGGAGCTCACCTCTGATGTTGTGCTTTCACCTACTGAAAGTGATAAAATTTCATGAGGAGCAAGTCTGATTTTTGTTTTCTCTCCTGTTGCTGCTGATGGCTGCTTGGAAAGCATTCGGTGAAGGATCTCAGACTGGGCATCTCACATTTCCCTTTCAGGCAGAAACTCCAGGTGTGTCTGGTGAGGGCTCCTGCTGTGCTCTCACCCTGCTCAGTGCATGTCTGCTCCTGTGCCTCACGTGGCTGCTCCATCCCGGGGCCAGGCGTGTAGGAAGGAGTGTGTTCAACCCGTCAGAAAGGGGAAGTGTATCTGAAATAACAAACTAAACATCAGCTGCGTGTGAGTAATGGGCTGTCTGTCCCTGCAGAAGGTGAGGGTACACACTCTGATGCCTTTTGATAGCAGGGTAGCTGTGATTTTGTAATTAATGCAAAATCAGCTGCTCACCGTGTCCTCTGTTTATGAATTCAGAACTTAAATTGTGTTCTGAGGTATTGATGTGCTCAATGAAAGCTCAGTGAGGAAAAAAAGTAAGATGTGGGGATGGCTCTTGTTTTACTGGGATCAATCTAAGTACATATGTCACTTTTTGGCAAGGAACTGATTTGGGGTGTATTCATGGGGCTTAGAATAGAAACGTGCTTGTCTGAGGGCTTCTGTGGCAGTCACCTGCCCAAAGCCAAAGCCTGGGTCGTGGTTTTACTACTGTGCCTTGTTTCTACATTTTTGTGTATGCATGATATATTTTAACAACTTCACTTGCTTTGCCTGGAATTTTAAACTGGAACAGAGCGTATATGTAATGCACAGAGCATTTTCCATGATTTATGAATGCCAGCTTGCCTGCTCCTCCAGATCCTTGCCATATATGCAGATGTGGTCATGGAATGAAGTGCCACAGAGCGTTGCCATGAACACTGGAGTGGGATGTGATGCAGATGGTTGGTACATACTCCCATGTTACCAGTAATGGGGGCTATAGGAGGGCTGAGCATGATCAGCCATTTCACTTGTGTTTTGTCACTCACATTCCTAGAGCATTTTTTTATTACTTCTGTGTCTTTGAACACTCCCTTGGCAGTGATGCAGTCTAAAACCTTACTTTCCTGTGAGGAGTTAGCAATTTCCCTCTTTCCCAGTCACACTGCTGAAATTGTGCCCACTTGCAGCATGTGATAAATTTACCTTAGTCATATACCAAAGAAACTTTCCAGGATAAAACCAAGTAATAATTCTTTAATATTTGGCTCTGATGGCTCAGGCTGGGCATCGCTGGTACATTCTTAGCATATGGTGCTTTCATATCTAGGAACTATTTGATGTGATGTCATTTCAGCATGTTCTGGACCCCTGACAGCTTCAGTAGCTGTTTTGTTATGTTTATCTATCTGTGACTAGTCTGCATGCAGTTTTTGGTAGCAGTGTAAAATATGTCTCATGCATATGCTTTTGTGTGATGTTCTTGTTAGAGAGAGAGAGAGATGATTTCAGTGTGCATTCTGCTGGGAGTCCTGTCACAAAATTCAGAGTTTTCCAAAGTACAGGCAATAATATGCTCTGGTGTATTTTATATGTAAGAATGGCTATATGGACACATTTCCCTGAAACATCTTGACTATCTCACACAACCCGAAGAGTAACATATTGGAATTCTTTAATCTCTTCATGTAGAAACCTATTTATATTAATTATATCATGTACATTTTCTTGTGTTCAACTCCCAAAATAACATATAAAGGATTTCATATGCTGTTGTTGAGTTTTAAATGCAGGGGTGGAGCATCATAACAGCACAATGAAGTGGTTAATAGACACAGAAGAAATTGGTTACCTATTTAGCTTGGCATAGGCAGCTTTGCAGTTTTCTGCCCGCTAGAGGGACTGCTGCTTATACTGCTCATTGCAGAACACAGACTCATGAAATCCCTTCACTATCTTCCACAACGTTTTAAAACTTTGAATGACTGACTCTGATTAAATCCTCTCAAGACTGAATCTCCAAGGTATCTCTCAAAGTGTAAAAATTTTGGGCACAATACTCTTATTCTGAGTCCAAATATTTTTAAACTGAATTTTCTTAATAAACGTTCTTTCTTTTTTATAAAGTATTTTCTGTTCTTTTAATTTATCAGTCAAGGCTTTCCTATATGACGTTGGTGGGGATTAGTTTGGATTCTTTTTGTCAAGGAAAAAATGTTGTATGTCTTTATTTATGTTTGGTGTAAGTTTTGTTTTGCAACCATGGTGCCAGTGAATATGGTAAACTAATCAGTTCTTGTATTTGCAAACGTCAGTGAAATGGGTTTCTCCTTTAACTGGGAGATAGCAAGCTTTGGGTAAGCAGAAATTAAACTTATAGTCAGTATGAGAAAACTTCCAGATGTATCTCTGTGTTATGCTTAGCTGGGGGATTTTTTTCTGTTTGTTTGTTGGAGCTGCATGTTTCTGACCTGCCCAATTTTCTTCTTAATTACAGAAACATGAAAGAATACAGGAAGTCCTGCATGACCTTATGAATACCTGTGCTAATTAAGTCACTGACTTGGTACTGGGAGAACAGCAAGGTAAGCAGTCAGGCCATGCCAGCAGAATTTCTTGTAATCTGCATGATTGTATTTCAACAAAGCTTCAGTGCTTTCACATATCAAATTCATAAGTAGTCAGGCAAAGACAAATAGCCTGCAGGTCTGAATGTGATAGATTTAGTTCAAAGCTTTGGTGACTAAACATCTTTTTTTCCTTCTGGGGGAAAAAAAAAATTACAAGTTTTGTGGTAGTTTTCTCTTTTTTAGAAGGCAATATCTCTAATTTCCACAATCAATTCCTGCCCAAATCTCAGCTTCCTGGGCTGACTCTGGGGAGGGGCTGGAGGAGGGGTGGAATGTTTCAAAACTTAGCTGATGAAAAGGCATGCTGTTTTGTGGATGCCTCCCAGAATTGTTTAAATCTGTGTGTGTGTGCGCGCGCTTATGAAAAGGGGGGGAGAGAGATCTCCATGACAACTGGCCTGGCCAGTCTGTGTTCTCTGCAATCATTTTGGCTGGAATCAGTGCTGTGAGAGGTCATATGAAGAAGTTATGGGAAGCACAGCAGGTATTAGATACTAAACGACTGGTTTTCTGATTGCCTCAGATAATAATACAGAGTTTTGTCTGGGAAATACAAATCTGAGAATGGAGTGGAAAGGGAAATGCTCCAAATTTCAGGTAACAAAAATTGCCTTTTTAATGTTATGTCCTCCCATTGTAAATTTTGATGATTTTTAATTTTGTTTTTTATTGGTGGTGGTGTTTACTCCCAGCCGAGAGTGCCGGAATGAGCTTGGATTCCCTGACTCTGGGGAATGATGTCATGCGGCAACAGTTGGATTCTATTAGCCAGGGAAAGAGGAAACATCCTGCATTTTTTGTTTTTGGAGTGGGAGGGGGGAATGGGGTTACTTTGGCTCTTTGTTGAATCCTGTGCAAAGGCTACAAGAAGTGTTTTAAAAAGTTTGTAACAAATTAATTCCCAGAAAATACCATTTAGGACCCAGACAGTGCCAAAGCTTAAACCCACTGCAATGATTACTCCTATATGTAAGAAAATTATTATGGAAATATTAAAGAAATCAGAGGATTTTCTTTCATCTTAAATGCTCCTGTATTCATCTTTAAGGAGAAAATTAATTAAAACATAATTAAGCAGAGGATTTGGAGCCTCCCTGCAATTTGGGATCCTTTAGTAATTGTTTGGAGAATGTGCTGCTATAGAGTTTCTTCTGGGTTGGGCCCTCTCTCAAGTGGCTGCTCATGAATAGATGATGCTGGCAGCATTGTTCTTAATAAGGTTTTCAGTCCTAGACTGTGTATTTCATAGCTGTAGACTAGCCTTTTAGGGAGGAGACAGTGGGGAAAGAAAGCAGAAAACTCATAATTTCAGCAATTTGAAAGGGACTTTTCTTTCCAGCTTTCCTTTTGCTAAATGCTGTATTAAACACAATGCTAGGGCATCATGCATAGCACTTTAAGCAGAAAAATACTTATTGGGTGTACAGCTGTTGTATCCTAATGAAAAGACTTACAAATTTAATATAATCCTACTTTGCCAAACATCACAAAACCACATTGTATCAGCAACCATGATGAATATATTAGGTCACCATTGTGCTGTTTAATTCCCCTTTGGAGATGCTCATTTCTACTTTTATGCTGCTTTGTTCCCTTCAGTGTGTTTCAGACGTGATCCAAAGCTTGCTGGAGTCCATGGGAGTTTTCCCGTCAACTTCAAAGGGCTTGGGATCAGCCTCTGCCTGAGAACTTCCCAGCCTCTGTGTCAGTCTTTTGACTGCAGGACCAGGCCACAGGCTCTGCCTTTTCTTTCTTGAACTTTCCAAACAGAAGGTCTTTTGTGTTTCTCCAAACAATGCCAGACGCTGCTGACTGGCTTCAGCATGGCTGCTAATAACACCATGCTGGAGATGATGGTGATGCTGATCTCCACTTTCTCCTCAAACCTTCCTAGAGGGGAAAGAATGGAAATCAGGTCCTTCTATCCCACCTCCCTCCCCACAAATGGCTATTTTTTATAAATGTGTGTGTGTGTGTGTGCGCAGATTGTTCCTGGATTATAGGGCTGTGCTTCAGAGGAGCAGGAAGACTTTAGGGAAAAAAATGCTGTCATAGCTGTGACCTACCCCAGAGCACTCATGCAGGAGGAACAGGCTGTGTTGGAGCAGAACTGACAGCTGTCATCTGCAAACTGAGGGCTCATCAGCACTGCCTACCACTTTGCGTCCACTTCTTGCCTACCAGCTTGATTCCTTAAATAAATACTCCTATTAGCAAATATTGATAGCCTGATTTGGAAAAAAAAAATCATGTCTTTGATGGTTGGGACCAGTTTAATATGAAATTCTTGTGCTATTTTTGACTAGAAATTAAATATCTGTGGAGCTGGTGTGCTAGTTTGAACCATCTCCCTCCTTAAGAAGGAGCACTGTGATTATTTCCCAATTTTAAGGTTCATTTGAGGGGAAAATGCTATTAGTCCCTGAAATGTCTAAGACAGACAAACCTAATGATTTTCAATGCTGCTTTTAAGTGCATACATTTTACAGATGATCATCCTGGGAATCCCGAGAGATCTCGGCAAGGAGTTGCAAACTGGATATTCCAAAGGCAGCAGTGAGTTTTTGGTGTGTATCTGTTTGCTGTGGTGCAGCAGGAAGCCTGGTGAACTCTCTCCTAGAGCTTCTGGCTGAGTGGCATTTCCCTTAATGGTCTGCGCTGTAGCATTTGCAAGTTTCTTTGAAAAGCGATACAAGGCATCATTCCCTTGGACTTTTAAGATAATTTCCATATGTTCTAGCATTCTGAATGGTTTCAAATGAAGTTTTCATACGTTATACTATGTATACCTTACCAGTAGGAAATAATAATAAAAAATATATTTGTAACTACAATTGTAACAAAGTTGACCCATTGTTTTTTCATCTATTGAGGGAGTGAGCAATTCAGGAAGGTGCTGGTATAGCTGGTAAGGCAGGTGGAGTCCTTGCAGGAGTCTGTGCAGGTGTAAGAGCTCTGTGTTCAATACAGTTCATACCTCTGGATAAGTCCTTAGCTCAGTGTTTACAGCTTTCTGTATTGTCACTTTATCAGTGCATTCATTTCTGTATTTCAAAGACAGTTGCTTTGTGTTGTCCTGATGTAAATCTCCTCACTGGTCCCAGGTGCCCACCATGTTTCTGCCAGTGGCTGAATGTCTGTGTTCTGTCTGTGGATAGTCCGTGGCTCTGAGTTTTCCAGAGACAGTGGTGAGGTTCCTTGGTGGGATTAATTGCTTTCTGTCTTACTGTTCTTAGAAGGGAAGTGAATGGACACAGTAGAAATTTTTTTGTTCTCTATTCTTGACTGTCTATAGAGTAATTTTTATAATCTGAGGTTTGACTGTCTACAGAGTATTTTTTATAATCTGAAGTGTTTTAATTGCTTGTTTTATCTTGCACAAATCCTATCTCTGTAACCCCTTGTACGCCCTCTATCTGTGGGCTGACAGCAGATGTTTGTGTTGTCCATTGAGGTCAGTTCCAAGTTACCCTGATGCATTTGTCTTTATTACTTAGAAGTACCCTGCTTTGGAAATGAGCTGAGGCTGTCTAGAAGCCTAGGACTCACTTGGTGTGTGCAGTTCAATACGAGTTTCTGCTCTTATTCCTTTCTCTAGGTTACTACAAAGTCCTCTCTATTTTTCTTCTTAGGGAAAGTCTGTGAGACTTGGAGAAACCTTGTTTCTTTTTTCTTTTTCTTTGTTTTTGTTTTTGCTGTTTCTGTTGAAGGTTGATCTTCAGAGCACCTGGTTGTGGACAGATGTACCATTAAATTCTTGAACACAAGATCAGTATTCTTCATTGGTAACTTTATGCTCATTATAGGTAGAATTAATTGATTGAAAACAATGATTCTGTATGTTTGGTAGAGCTGCTCATGGTGATGCTCAAATCTTTCCTGATTTTCTCTAAGTTAATTTCAATTCCAGCAGTATGAACAATGAGTTCAGTTGTTTCCTCTCATGTTCTGTTTTCTGGTCATGAGTGACTTCCCAAGGTGTAAAATGTGACACGCAAAAATATCTGTTCTGTGCAGCTCGCACTGGAGATGGGTATGGCTGCCTTTAATTACAGCAAGAGCCTGGACATGATGGCACTGTCATTGTGCTCTGCAGTGCAGGCTCTCATTAGTGCTAATCAGTGATCTCTCTTCTGGCTGTGCATCTTTGACCCAGTTACTCTGCTGAACTTAGCACAGTTGCTAGTGTGACACAAAGCAGACTCTTGGCACAGCCCTGATCACAGAGCAGGGCAAGATCTGGCAACTTTCACACAAATCCATTATAATTAAGGCTTCCGGTCTGGGATTTAAATGGCTTCTTTCTCTTAAAAGCTTGGGAGGGTTTTAAAAGTATTTTTTCAGGCTGAAAATGGACTCACTGCTGGTAGAAGCCAAGTCCCCAGGTGGCACTAGCTTTAGGCAGACCTGAAAGAAGCAGGTGCTGCTCTTGTTCCTTCACCAGGCTTTGCAAACCTGAGTGCTTTTTGAACAGAGCCTCCCCGTTGTTCCTCAGTTTCTTGTGACAACAAGAGTCCCCTAAGCAGTTACAGGAGTGTTGCGCAGTTGGCTTTCCTCCAGTGCCAGCTCTTATTCTGAGTTCAAGCTTCATGTAACATTAATCTTCTCGGCCCACTTGGAGCCAAACTGCTGTAGTCAAGGGGCTCTTCAAAGTCCTGTTTCCCAACCCTCTCAGAGGCAGTGCTTCCTCCTGGAACACTTTTTGCCCGTCCTGTTGCAGTTTGATGACAGGAAGATGAATTGGAGGCTAAAACTTCTGCCAACGTCAAGAGCATAGTCTGGCATCCTCTGTGTAGCTGGCATCCAAAGGATACAAGCCATCACATTATCTGTTCTCCTGGGCCAGCTGAGCTCATTGGTTTATAAGCAGAACATCCCTCCTGTCTTTAAAGCTTCCTTGAAAGTTAAAAGGCATTGCTAAATTTTTAGCACATTTATGGGGCATGCTGAGGACA